AGGTTGGTGAGCTGTTGGGACTCTAATAAAAACATTACAGACCAAAATCAGGGAAGATACAGGAGCCCACATCAATTTGACCAAGTCAAGCAAGAGAGAAATGAATAAAAATTCTCGAAAATAGGTGAGGACGAGATTCATTACCAACCCCCGCCATCTCTTCTGGCCAATAGAGGAGTAGTCTCGGCCTCGACAACATGATCCCACTCTCTCGCATGTCGAGTTTGGTGCCTTAGTTGGTGGATCGATGGACATTTAAGGATTTGAACTTTTTTTAATTTAGGGAGACGAAATGTCGCCCCCCGCGCACGTCACATCAACATCAACATTGAAACCTTAGAGAGGAACCATTGAATTTTGTTGCTTGCGACATTAGTTTGATGCCATGTGCCACGAATTTCAATCGGTCCGAAGACCTCCGGCGAAAATGCTATTGAGAATCCACCAACCGTGGACTATCGTCCCATTCAACAAGTCTCGAAGCACGAGTGCTTATATTTTCTTATGTTTCTTGTATTTTTTCCCTATTGCGTTCTTATTATTATTTTTTTTCTTTCTTTCTTTTTTTTGGCAATGATTGACGCTCTATAATAATACATGATTCTTCAAGCGTTTTACGGACATCCTTCGAGTGCCTTTTTGGCTGCGAAACGTGAGGATGGAGGTGTCGACATCGGAGGAGTTGGTGTTCAGGACATGATTGCACTGATTTCCACCTTCGGATTACCAACCCCCGCTGAACTCTCTTTTATTCCGTTTACCCGACTTTTTATGTCTCCACCACCAACCAAAATGGCGACATGCTTTCGACATCGTCACCGATTGATTTCGCATCTCCTCGATCGGGGTTGGTAGGGTTTGTAAGTTTATTAGAATATTTGAACATTAATTCACACGTTCATTTAGCAGCTGATGTGTTACAAAAGATGGAAGAATTCATCCCGAAAAACTAGCTTGCCAAGGCCGCGAGGATCGAGCCCTCGCTAGATCTGGAGAGTGTGACCCTAGCCGCTGGGCAGTTGCTGGCCATGGTCGGGTACTAGCCATAGGCCAAAGGAATGAGGCGGAAAAAAAAAAACGAAAGGAAAAAAAGAAAAAAAAGGGATATTTTAAAAAAATTATTAAAAATATCCAGATTAGCGCCGGTCATAAGATGCCCGGGGTCTACATCATTGATTTCCGACCTAAATTGATATCTATGTGTGAAAAGGTTTAAGACTCAATTGGTCTAATTAAAAAGTCTAAAAACTAAATCGGCACCAATACAAGTTTAAGATTTTTTTGTTACTTTTCTCGGCTTTTGCCCATATCATCCTCCCACTCTTTAGGATTCTATGACGTCGTAGATTGGCCTCAAGGACGCAGCCTCGGGCCACCACTAAGGGACTGTAGCCCCGAGGATAAAGTGCCAAAAGGTGCGCATTTAAGGAGAGTCTCGAAAGAGTTTAGAATAGCCGACAGTAGTCCCATAAAACCTTACAAATCTATCATAGTGTGTTGTTGGACTTAACTCATTTTAACGTGGCGAAATAGATGTTTCTCATGGCTGGTGGCGCTTCTCAAGTCTCGAAAGAGTTCAGTGGAAAATAGAATTTGCAGCCGCAGAAAGCTACCAAAATCGCTCATAATGCAGGTCTTCACCAACTCCATGACTCTTCCCTATACGGACAGAGCAGGCGGCATATTGGCTGCTCCTCTTCTTTCACGGAATTAGGAATGTCTATGGACCCGGTTTTATTCCATTCACGAGAATTCAATAACGGATTGCATTCCCTTAGAATTGTATTTCTTTTCAATAGTTTGTTTGAATGATTAAAAATTTTGTACTTTCAAATGAAAACACACCTCAACGATTAAATGCTTAACGACTAAAATGCGTTGTCTAATTTTTCTTTATTTCTTTTTCTCCTTCTCCATCTTTCTTCCCCACCCGACCTCGCAACCAAAGCCTGCCGATCGCCACCTCCGTCCACCGATCGTCACTGCCAGTGCCCTTGTCATCACACCTCCATCCGCCGACAATGCCGCCCACTTCGCTAGCCTACGTCATTAGCCACGCCGCCCTCTATCTCTACGCAGAGGCTGTGACCAGTGGCAATGGGGCTCACAATCTCGCAGTCGTGGAGCTCATTCGACTCGCGCAATCACAAATCTAGGGTCGCGCGAGGCAAGCATCCTCCGTCGATGCACGAGATGGATGAAAATTCTCTGCTCTGCACAGTGCTCCAATTAGTGCATCGACAAATTACAAATTGTGGACAACCTTATTTGCATAAATAAATGGTTGAGACTTATTGAGGCGTCAAAAGTTAATTCTTACACTAGTTCTTAAAATAAATGAATGCTTTCTATCTAATAATTAATGTGATAAACTACTTAATAGGAATTTCTTATAAAGACATGTAGACTTTCTGTCGGTCCTAAGCAAGACCTTAAAAGGCTTCATCTTGGGGTCTCGTTTTGATCTCGAGATCTCCAGGATGTAAAGCATCTAAAAAGTATTCTCTCCTTTCAGGAAAGACAAAATTTTGGGTTGAATTAGGGAAAGGCATGCAGACACTGACACATTAAAATAAGAAACGCATCTATGAAGTCTGTCGTCACTGCATGTTAAACGGACAGATCGTAGAGGCCCCTATCAGAGTTTTGGCTCCTCTTCTTTGTTGAGGTTATCCTGTAACCAAACATCAAGAATTCAAGGAAGAGCCTTGTAATAATTGAAAAGTTTATTTTTTAGAAATTTTCTGTACATGGGCACATCTTTTGCTAGTAATAAAGAAAGATACAACTTGGGTGAGATATTTTTCTTTGGAGACTGTACGGCACACAAGGGCCTAAAAGATTGGGGTCTACAAGAGATCACCTCATGGGCTCAACTAACAAAGAATATGGGCTAACTTCTTAAAATATAGAAAAAATCACACTGTGCCCTCTATATAGTAAATTCTACCTCCTTGTACACAAACTTGCTATGAAAAAGTGTATTTAATTTTCTACTCGAGACACTATATAATCTAAACCAAAATTTGTTGTGAAACCAAGTCGATCGAACTCAATTAAAAATAGATAATTGGAAATAAATCACGGAAACGGGTTATGGGGTTTGAGCGACGTATTTACATCCATGAGGATAGCAATAAAAAATTAACTATATAATTGAGCGATTTACTGAGATATTGTCGATGTTTTTCAAACTTACATTATACCCAATAATCTTATAGATTATTATTTACACAAGTTTTTAAGTAACTTTCCCTCTAGCTTTCCAGTGAATTCTCTCATAATTAAGTGACCTAAAACGGTTGCACCTAAACAAGACACTAAGAAAACCCTCAATGCACTAATTTCCTAGGCCAAGTTGGACTCTTTAACACAATTTCTACACTTCTCCGCCTTCGGTTAATGCATGTAGTTTGGACCTGAGTATGTCCTTAAATCATTTCGTTTGAACTTTGGGACGTTAAACTCAGGCTATTCCCTTGGGTGAAGGAAAAAAAACTTTCCCCCAATTGGGAGATTTGGGCATGCGGGCACCAGCACATTTAAATAAGGAACACAATTATGTTAGCTCGTTAGGTATACTTGAATAGGCGGGGCGGGCCCAGTCGAAAGCTTACGCTTCCTTTGCTTTGATGAGGTATCCTCGGTAACCACCATCAAGAATCCAAGCCAGGCTCCCATTACCGAGTTAATGCATGTAGTCAAGTTACAACCGCTACAAAGCACCACTTAGCAATGAATCTCTATAAGGATAATTTGCCTGGCCACTCACCCCATAGCCCCTCGTCAGGTGTATACACTTGAATAGGCGGAGCGGCCCCAATCGAAAGCTTACGCTTCCTTTGCTTTGATAAGGTACCATCGGTAACCACTACCAAAAATCCAAGCCAAGCCCCGCTATTACTGAGTTAATGCATGTAGTCAAGTTATAACCGCTACAAAGCACCACTTAGCAACGAATCTCTATAATAATAATTTGCCTGGCCACTCACCCCATAGCCCCTCGTAAGCTCTTCAACCACCACAGACGTTTTTTTTAGCAAGTTTAGATACTCAATTCTAAAAGGATTGATCAGTACACTTATGCTAAATTTACCTTAAACTAATTTTCGTATCACAAAAAATCTAAAACCGTTACACCTGTATAATATTTATCTCAAACTAATTTTCATATCACAAAGAATCCTAAATAGGTACGCCCGTTCCACATTTACTCCAAATTTGTCATTCTCTTTCCACTCGTACATAATTTCTCCCACACATCCAAGTAGTGTTAACATCAATTCTCATTTCATCTTAGGATATGGTTCCATTCAAAGCGCTTATGCTAAGCTACGATTCTACGAAAACAGACCGACATAAATGCTCATACCTTCGCTGGTGATCGCGCCGTAGATGAGAAGATTGGAATTGGAGGAAATATTTAGGTTCTTCATACAACGAATCCCAAATTTGATATCATCAACTGAAATAGAAGGTCGGTCATCTTCGATGTTGATCGAATCGAAGTTTGCCAAGCTCCCGAACTTGAACCTGGTCTCCATCAACGAAGTAGCGGAAAGAGAAAAGGCTCAAGAGCTGCTTGTGATCAAGAAGATTTGTGCAATTGAGAAAGCAATAGTGAAGGGACGATGCGAAGTTTTAAGAGGTTTTAGCAAGCAAAGAGAAGAGAAAAAGAATGGGTAGATTTGTCACTAGTATAAAGATTTGATTTTTTTTTAACTCGAGTATACTAATTTGAGATATTTTGTGACACGAAAATTAATTTGATTTATCAATTCGAGATTTTTTGTGAAATTAACCCACAATGGGTAACAATTCAAGTTCTTGCGATGTGATTATTCCTTAATTATCCCAATAAAATGAGTCCACAACATGCCGTATGCTTGACTTAAGAATCTAAGACATTGCCCATGACGTTCTGTGGCGTAGATCAGCAAGAAGTAAAAAAATACTAACACCAACTAAACTTGCGAAAATCAAAAGGTGAAATCTCGTGGTTGACCAGAGAAAACAACAGGACCATTGAATTTATCAGAAAATTTACCAAACCACCGCGATAACGAAACCCAGAGCTTGTAACATCTCTCATTGTCCACAGAGGGACATGTAGGTAGGGGGAGGGGCTTTTATGAAAAGAAAATTTTACAATTCAGGAAGGAAAAAATGAAGATAAAAATGATGATGATACTAGTAAAACTAAGGATGTTGGATGATTCTCTTGGGATCTAGTCCTTGTACTTCATATCGGACATGAGGAAACCGGGCATGTCGAAGGAGCCGGAGAACTTCTCGACATCGACCTTGAGGGCCTCGATGTCCTTGTTGTTCACCAGACCCTTGTTGAAGTCCTTCAGTAGCTTGCCATGCTGCTTTTGGATGTTCAGGGTGATGGTCACGGCCCGGTGGAGGAACTCCCCGATTTGCTCGAAGTCCTTCTCGACCAAGCCCCTAGAAGTCATGGCAGGAGTACCTGAGACATGACAAGCCCGTTAAATCAAACATTGCGATAATCATCAATTCGGCCACCAATTGGCCTAAATGTGCTCGGAAGATCTTGCCCAAAGTGCGTCGGACAAAAAGGGGAAATAAAATGAAGTCATGCAGAGGTTTTCATTACCAATTCGTACTCCTCCAGGTGCCAAGGCACTGCTGTCACCAAAAACAGCATTCTTGTTCACGGTAATATTGCAGAGATCGCAAAGTTTCTCGACCTTATTGCCTGCAAGGGCGGTATTTGAAGTGATTAGAATCTATGTATACCGTTGTTGTCAGCATCATCAACTCGCTCAACCAAACAGATGCAATCTTACCGGTCAATCCAAGAGGACGAAGGTCCCAAAGAACAAGGTGGTTCTCAGTTCCACCAGTCACAAGCTTGTAATTCTTGCTCATGAGGTAGTTCCCAAGAGCAACAGCATTGGCCTTGACTTGCTTAGCATAGGCCTTGAACCCAGGAGACATTGCCTGCTTCAGGGCAACAGCCAGGGCGCCGATCTGGTGGTTGTGCGGGCCTCCCTGAAGAGACGGGAAAACCGCAAAGTTGATCTTGTCCTCAAAGTCATAAACCGCATCCTCGGGCTGGCCCTTCTTGGCAGGCTTAGGGCCCTTCCTGTAGAAGATCATCCCGGCTCTCGGACCCCTCAAGCTCTTGTGGGTTGTGGTTGTGACGATGTCGCAGTACTCAAATGGGTTCGCAGCTTCCTACAGCCAGAAACAAAGTTGCAACGACAATAAGAACATTGGGAACCTCACGACATATTGACATCATCAAAGGAAATGTACTGCAAATGCAAAGAAGAATGACCAGATAGAAATCGTTTAATCCAAGAAGAAACAGAATCATGAGCAGGACAAAAGAACACATTTCATTTCATTCAACTGCTATTGCAACATCCAGAGATGGGTTGTCACATTCATATAAAACAAGACACGAATCAGGTTCTACAATGCAGAGATCACAAGTATTTCGAAAGGCATAGAATAAAATTCCCAGAGATCTACCTAAGATTGAACATTAAATCACAATTCCACAGGTAGATCAAGCATAAGGGATCAATGCAAACTCGAGCACGATACAAATGGTCAAAAATTTAACAAGGATTGGCGAAGCTTGCATGAATACGTGAGAAGGACGAAAATGGAATGCAGTCAACCCATACTTAATTCATATAAATGAAAGCCCAAGCGAGGTCCAACAAGTTAAGGAGGACACAATCAACTCACAGAGATCCCAGATCCGGCCTCGTACACATTCACACTGCATAAACGAAAATGCAGATCCAACACCGACAACAGAACTGCAAGCGACAAAACATCAAACACCATCCGCGCGCGCAGATCCAATTGCAAAACCGACGAAACGGAGGGAGGGGGCATGTGTATATATATGTATATATACCTGAGCGGCAACGAGGCCGCTGATGTGGGCCATGTCGCAGAGGAGGAGGGCGCCGCACTTGTCGGCGACGGAGCGGAAGCGGGCGTAGTCCCAGTCGCGGGGGTAGGCGCTGCCGCCGCAGATGATGAGGCGGGGGCGGAAGTCGAGGGCCTTCTCCTCGAGCTTGTCGTAGTCGATGTAGCCGGTGGCGGAGTTGACCTTGTAGGGGAGGCTCTCGAAGTAGATGGAGGTGGCGGAGATCTTCTTGCCGCCGGAGGTGTAGTAGCCGTGGGTGAGGTGGCCGCCGGAGGGGAGGTCGAGGCCCATGATGCGGTCGTGGGGCTGGAGGACGGCGGTGTAGGCGGCGAAGTTGGCGGGGGAGCCGGAGTAGGGCTGGACGTTGACGCCCCAGCGGGTGGGGTCGAGGCGGTAGGCCTGGAGGGCGCGGGAGCGGCAGAGGTTCTCGATCTGGTCGATGTACTCGTTGCCGCCGTAGTAGCGGTTGCCCGGCATGCCCTCGGAGTACTTGTTGGTGAGGGCGGAGCCGAGGGCCTCGATGACGGCGAAGGAGGTGAAGTTCTCGGAGGCGATCAGCTCGATCCCCCGGCACTGCCGCCGCTTCTCCTTCTCGATCAGGTCGTGGATCTCCGGATCCACCGCATGCAGCGGCGTGTTGCCCCACACGGTCACCGGATCCATCCCAACAACAACAACAACAACCGCTTGAGAGAGAAAGAAGCGAGAGAGGAGGAGGAGGAGGAAAATGGAGGAAGACGGTGGGTGGTGGAGGATGTGTGGGGGGTGGGGCTTAAAAAGGGTTGGGGGATTTTGCTTGATTATAGGTGGGTGCTGGTGAAGTGGTGGTCCACTCTTTTCCCTTCAAAGGGTTGGTGAACACAATTACCTCCTATTTTCTTTCCTTTCTCTTTTTTTTTTTCATTTGACTTTTTTTTTTAATTTTTACTTTGATTAGCTTAACCTCTTATTGATTATTTTTGGACAATTTTTGTGGTGCCCGGAACTCGTAGGCTCGAGGATAAGCCCGCGCGGTGTCTCGTGAGCCGAGATGCGAGGTCAACTTTTTCCTCGATAAGATTGCCCTCGTAGCCAGGAAAACTAAGAGGCAGTGACACTGGAGCAATGGACAACCCCTAATCGAATATCATCATAAATAAAGTTCATTTCTTTTCTGAATACGCATCGCCATAAATTTAAAGCTAGATTATCAAAGTCCCATTTGCTAATAAATCATGTAAATTGTTAATCGGTACGTGACGTTTTATAGTGGATTGTAGCAAAATGGATCCTTGAACCATGGCTCTAACAATATCTAGGGTTCTGTGTCCTGAGCACCGCACACTCTCCTTCCTTAAATATTTTCGTATTATGAAAAGCTTGTTATGTCATTCATCAATTTGATGCAATGCATATTAGAAATATAAGCGGAGCTAATACTTACTAGTCATGGCGGCGACGAAATTGAACCCCAACGACTTGATTGTGGGTAAATCGGGTCGTAATTGGAGGTGGTGGTGGTATGCTACAAAAGGCGAATTGGATTCTGGGTTTTGTGCAATGCTCAATATCATTGCTATTTTAGAGGCAAGGCAGGTTCATGAATCAGGACCAACCATGTCCACATCCACCCCGCCTTACGTGGAGAGGAAGATCCGCCCTGTCCCCTCACAAAAACCTATCGGTTGCGGGTTTTATTCACCCCATTTGAGGCAAGACGGCGTGTGTATATAGCGGGGCAGTAAAATTGCCATCCCTAAGCCCTGGCTTGGCCCTCCCTGGTCCCGTGGCTAAATTTGGGCATAGTCGAAGCCTGGAGGTGGGTGTAATGCTACCGGACACAATGGCAATTGGATTCTGGGTCTTGTCTTGTTCTTTTGGGGTTTACTAATACGCTAATGACTGAGCTTTTGGGCCTTGCATCGGCTCCTTCTTGCTAAAAAATCGGTGTCATTTGCTAAACCTTACCCTACCACGGGCAATCGTGGATCCTTGGTGTCTGGTAAGGTTTGTCTCACCAAGACCGGGTGTTGCTACCTATCTAGGCTACAACGCCTTGTTTAATGACCGGTTTACCTACACACCCCCTATCTCTCTCCAGTACTGTTTTTCTTTCAGGGAGAGGACTGGAATACAAAGAGAGCTTACAGGGAGATTTATCCATAATACTCGGGAGTTCCTTCTCCTATCTCTTCTTGAGTCTTTTTAGATCCTGTTCAGGACCAATCTTAGTGGAACTTGATGCCAAAATTTATTGGACATGCTTATGTCTGACAAGTGCTTGAATGAAAACTTGATTCCCTTGTATATACTATGGAGCATATCTATAGAGAGGCCAACCATTGTGCTAATATGTTAGCGAAGTAAGATAGACTGCAAGGGGACAAGCTACTCATTCATGAATATCCCTCCACGGATGCTACACATTCGCTTTTTTTTTTTGACAAAGGGAAAATGACACAAATGGTGATGACCTTTAGTTTAATGTGAAATGTCATCCTTAAACTTTTAATTTGTTCAATGTGGTCCCTGAACTTTGGTATAATGTGCAATGTCGTCCTTGAACTTTTATTTTGTTCATTGTTGTCCTCGAAGTAATGCTATATGTTCAATGTGGTCCGTAAAATTTTTTATATATTTTCATATAGCTTAGGACTACATTGAACATTTATCAATAGTTTAGGGATTATATTAAACAAATTACAACTGTATGGATGATATTGCATATTGGGTCAAAGTTCAAGGATTACATTACATAAATTAAAAGTTGAGGGACGATAGTACACATTAGATTAAAGTTCAAGGACTATTTATAGTATTATTCCTTGGATAGACATAGCTATTAGAACCGTTAGACATTGCCTTTGGGCCCTTTTCTCGTAAAGCCCCCAAAAAATATCCTCGTGGTAATTGAGAATATACTCGGTGACCAAGAAAGGATGGAGACAATTCCTCTCTCGATTCTCTCTCATATGTTTCTATTACGTGCCAAATATTAGCATGCCACATCGACATCCTGGGGTGATTTTTGCCACATCGCTTTTGCCTCGTCAATAAAATTGACGGAGTCGCTCATAGTAGTAGGTGGCTCATAGTAGGTTACGTGACCCAATTGTATAGGTCGAGTAAAGGTAGATAACTTGATTGTATAAACATACTTATAATGATCTACCGTGCATTTGACAAGAGTTCACATTCAGTAACACCTCAAAAGTGTACCCAACCCACTATCCTAATAATATTTGGAGTCACCCTAAAAAACATAATTACTTTAAGGAAAAATGACACAAATTGTCTCTAAATTTTGACCAAATGTATAACGTGGTCCTTAAACTTTAGCCCAACGTGCAATGTCATCCTTGAATTTTCAATTTATTAATTGTGACCCATGAACTTTTGATGCATGTTCAATATAGTTCCTGCACTATACAAAAATATTAAATATTATCCATGAACTTGAATTTATGTAAGAATGACATTGGACATTTTCATATAGTCTAGGGACTAACTTGAACATGAACCAAAAGTCTGGAGACTACATCGAACAAATTAAAAGTTGAGGGACGACATTACATATTTGGCTAAAATCTAGGGACCGCATTGAACAAAATAAAAGTTCGTGAACTACATTATACATTGAGTCAAAATTCATGAATTATTTGTATAATTATCCCTTACTTTCATTAAATTAAAGCTAAACCAAACAGCCTCAAAACAAGAATAAACTAGCAGAATCACCTAATTTTTGTATGGTATTGGGACATTCTTGCCTAAATAAGGATTCGCCTTGACCGAGTCTACTGCGGTCTTTGCCCACATGATCAATGACAGAGCAGGACCAACTATAGTGGACTCGAGACAACGAGAAAGTATTTTTTCTGCGGATAATACGGATGATATGGCATTACCAACCCCCAATGTTGCCCATGGCAATATACATTTCACTCAACTTTTGCATTTAGGCTCCGTTTGCTCAGCGAAAAATAAATAATTTAAAAAATAATTTTATAAAATTAATTTCTTCTATAGCTTGAAATGACAAGTCAATGAAAATTGTTTTATTACCGATAATAATTTATGTCTCGATATTTTCGTAAATGACGAAAATATTTTTTGTTCGTTCATTTATGCAAGCAATACAAGCGATTTTTTAGGGAAATATTTTTTAAATTATTCATTTTCCTCGAAACAAAATAAAAATATTACTAAATTATTTTTGGCCTAAATTAGTGGGAAAGCTGACGTGGAGGAGAATTATCCACGTCAGCTTGATTGTTGCTGTTGCCAGTTGCGCAGGGCAATTGTCCACGTCATTCAAGTTTGGGAAAAAATCACCAAAAACCCCAAACTTTGCCATCTGTGACACATTTACCCAGAATTTTTTTTTGTGACACCAAAAACCCCGAACTTTGCTTTTTGTGACACATTTACCCCAATGTATTTAGTCCATGGGCATTTTCGTCTTTTTGCTTTTTCTTTTTTTTTTTTTTTTTTCCTTTCCGTGAGGGGGCCCTCGCCGGCGTCAGCGAGCGAGGGCGGCCCTCGCCCGATCTCGGCGAGCGGCGTCGACGAGGCGCCCGCCCGGCGGCGGCGGCGTCGGCGAGGCCTCGACCCTCGCTGAGTCCTCGCGGCGAGGGTCGACCTCCCCGAGCCTGGCGAGGGCCGCCCCTCGCCCGAGGCGAACCCGCCGAGCGGCGAGGTCGCCTCGCTCGAGTGAGCGATGGCGAGCGAGGCCGCCCTCGCTCGCCCGGGAGGCGGGCGAGGGTCGACCTCGCCCGAGCGGCGAGCGCCCGCAACCCGGCGAGGGCCGCCTCGCTCGGCGCCGGCGAGGCCCCTCGCCGGATCCGGCGAGGGTAGCCCTCGCCCGACGCCGGCGAGGCCCCCCCTCGCCGGAAAGGAAAAAAAAAAAGAAAAAAAAAAGAAAAAGCAGAAAAGACGAAAATGCCCATGGACTAAGTACATTGGGGTAAATGTGTCACAAAAAGTAAAGTTCGGGGTTTTTGGTGTCACAAAAAAAAGTTCGGGGTAAATGTGTCATAGATGGCAAAGTTTGGGGTTTTTGGTGGTTTTTTCCCTTCAAGTTTAGATGATCATAAAGGCTCCCCACCAAAATTCGACGGGAAAACACTACCAAAAATCTCGAATTATATTATTTGTGATAAATTTACTTTGAATTTTTTTTTGTGACACCAAAAATCCCAAACTATGCCACTTGTGATACATTTACCCCACAATACTTTTGTCCAAGGGCATTTTCGTCTTTTTCCTTTTTCTATTTTTTTTCCTTTTTTTTTCCTTTATTCTCTTTTCCCTCCGCCGGCCATGGCGGAGGGAAGCCGGCAAGGGTCGCCCTCGCCCAAACCCAACGCCGGCGAGGGCTGCCCTCGCCAGCTTCCCTCCGCCATGGCTGGCGGAGGGAAGAGAGAAGAAAGAAAAAAAAAAGGAAAAAAAATAGAAAAAGGAAAAAGATGAAAATGCCCTTGAGAAAAGTATTGTGGGGTAAATGTATCACAAGTGGCATAGTTTGGGGTTTTTTGTGTCGCAAAAAAATTTCAAGGTAAATTTGTCACAAGTGGCATAGTTTGGGGTTTTTGGTAGTATTTTCCCAAATCCGAGTCTATAGGTTTTCCATCTTAATGAGTCCACATCATCATTTCCGCGGGCATTATAGTTGTCGGTGACGGCAAGACATAGCACTGGAAAATGATGGAAAATAAAAGAAAATTTGATTGCACATCACAAATTCAAAG